TCCCAGGACCCTGGGATCATGACCTGAGCCGAAGGCAGACGCTTAACGACTGAGCCACCCAGGCGCCCCCCTATTTTCATTAAATGTGGATATATATATAGATTTTGATATAGACATATATGTAGATGAAAATGTAGATGTCACTTTAGACATAGATGAAGGAGTAGACCTAGATATAGTGTATCTACCTATCCCCCAAAATGAAGGGTCAGATTCAGAAACAATGGAAGTGAAGGAGAGTGACACATGTTGACAGTTCCTACATTTTCCACAGATCTCTCCTGAGAAGGTCCTTATGCTAGACTACTCATCCAATGATATAGCACAACTATAGAAGCAAAATGCTACAACTTGAATTTGGGCAATGATAAATTAGGATTTGACTGAAAAAGCCCAAGACCTGGAATCAGAAAGCCTGAGATAATGTTCTAACTCACAATCTATTGAAATTGGGGTTCCTCAGAAACAGAGGATGACACAAAGATTTGGATGCAAGTAGTTTATTTGAGTGGTGATTCCAGTAAGCATAAGTGAAGGAGTAGTGAAGTGACTTGGAACAGGAAAAAAGGCCAATAAAGGGTGCCTCGTGAGTGGGCTATAGCCTTAGACAACTGGGCTTCTGAGAAACCCACATCAGAATTTCCCCCTCCTGTGACCAGAGCCCTGGGGTATATATCTACCAATGCCAGCCCCCCATTGCTGGAAAGTTGCTTCTTAGGTATTAACTCCTCATGTTTTAGTATGTTCCTTCCACCTGGGCTCTGAATCCCAGCTCCTCCTTTCTTTTCGAGAACTGCATTTCTTTAATTACCTTCCCCTTTCTCACTTTTAACATCACCCTTTCCTTCCAGAGTCTTGCCCCTTTCACCGGTAAACAAGCTTAATGCTTTTAAACCCTAGAAAATGAAAACTTCCCTTATTCCTGCCTCTACCTACCCTCCAATTTCTTTCTTTCCCTTTCCACCAAGCTTTGTAAAGAGGGCGATCTACACTCACGGACTCTAGGGTCTCACTTCCTATTAACTTCTCAGCCAAAGCCAGTGACTCCTGACCCCTTCCTTTGACTGCAACTGCTCATAACAAGGCTGCATGTTTCCTCATAGTAGTTTCTCACTGATTCTCAGACTGCTCCTTCTTCCTCAAAACTTATTCTTTCATATGCTTTCATAAAACCCCTCTCTTAGTTCTCTGGGTTTCCTCCCAAGTTTTTCATCTTTCTTTTGTGGACTGTTCTTCCTCTGCTAGTCCATTTAATGTTAGTGTTTACCAATTCCCAAATATTTAACTCCAACTCCAACTCTCTGTAACTCCTGAAAGTGTTTGTCCAAGAGCCCACTAGCTTCCAACTGAAGTCATTACAGTGTCTTCCTCTTCCCTTCCCCTCTTCCCTTGGAGAGAATATAAGGAGTTTGTAAAACCACTATTTATTCATTTACCCAGTTTCAAAGCTTGGCATTATCAGACATCATTCCTCTCTCTCATCCTTCATTTCCTTCTTCAATAAATCCTATTGATTCTACCTTCTAAATGCCAAACTCTCTTCATCAGCCCCATCGCCACTGACACCTTAATTCATGTCCTCATCACCTTAGTGTAATCCACTGGTAACTTCTGGTTGATCAATCTGCTTCCAGTTTCTTTACATGCAGACCATCTCCTACACAGTAAAAAAAAAAAAAAAAAAAAAAGAAAGAAGCATGTTTAGTAAGTTAGCATTCACCAGTGGACTACACCATTAATGTAAGACTAGTTACTTAAAAATTTACCCATAAACACCGACTTAGAGACTCCTTTTAGGCATTTTCTTCCAAATTTTTTATCATTTTTCTGAAAATGGAATATAATAATATCTTTGTTATTTATCTTAAGCATTTACACTCAGTGAAAGCCTTAAAAAGCTAAATAAATTTGATTCCCAAAAGATAGAAATAAAGAAAAGCATTTCTGAAGATTTTACTTCTGAAATGGAAATTTTTTAACATTGCCCATTTTATTTTCTATCTTGTATATTAAAGGTGCAAATCCTATTATGTACATCAAATTCCCATCCAATTCATTCAAAATGTGCTAGGAGTGGAAAGGAGATATAATTCTAAGTTTATTTTCTACGTTGCAGAGGTGGTCTTCTATCTAGTTAACCTGACTTCTCCTAAGCGCTCATGGTTGTTTCCTGAGTTATGCTTAATATCATACCTATTAGCATTATTCTATTAGCATTATTACAATTATGTCAAAAGTACAGAGATGTTAAATACCTTGCCTGAAGTCAAAAATGAGTCAGAGACACAGCTCAGACTAGGTCCTGCCACTCTGCCTCTCAGGATCTAACTGCATCCAGAATTTGTCATTGCTTCTCTGTTATTTGATTAGAAATAGGGACAATGTTGATTTTGGCTTTAATCTGGAAACAAATAAATGAGGAAATCAGTTTAACTGGAAGGAAAGCTAAAAAAGGAGATTGACAAATCACAGTACTCAGATATTTTTCTTTTTTTCTCCTATTTGTATGAACTTTTACGAAATATCTAATAATGTATCTTCATGAAAATACATCTCTGATTTTTTTTTAACTCTTATTTTTGTGCTCATCCGGAGAATTTTGGTACTTGAACTTTAGTAATGCTCACTTGAAGACTAAGTAAAACCAAAGTTCAGCTGAAGGTTTGTTTTATAGTACTAATGATAATCAAGTTTACCATAAAGATATGGGTTAAAATGTCATTTCAACTACAATATGGAGAGAAGCCTAATTTTTCTTAGTTATAAAAAATGTGGCAAGCTAATAATTGCCAAGATGAAATGGTCAGTTTAGTTAATCTAAGAAAAACAAAAATTCCCTGAGGTGCAATTACGAAATTTATCTGTACGCATCAATTATACCCTGAACGAACTGTTCCTTTTGTTTTAAACTCTAGAGGAATTTCGAATGTGTAACACTCGACTTGTTACCTCCACTGGTTGAGTAACAGTTTCAGACTGGAAATCCAGGTTTATCGTTTCTTTTTTCGTTCTGATGTAATTGAAGCTTTTGTTTGCTATTTGTTCTGTGATCTCTATTTATTAACTCAGATTCCAGTAAAATACGGAAGTTGTGTTTTCTTTCTGTTGTTTGCTGTTTTCTGCACTCAAGTATTGCCAGTGTTTGACCTTCCCATTAAACATTTTCCTGCCATTCACTCATAAATTTTAAGTTTATGAAGGAAAAGCTAATCCTGATGATTTACTGGAAAGAAAAACCGGTTGAAGTTGAGGGGGAAGCAGAATACATGTCCCCCAAATATGCCACTTTGACGTGTGGATTATTTTGAGCTGAAAGACAATCAAGGCTCAACAGACTCAATAAGAGCTGTTTACCTTCCCTTTAACTGCTTAAAAGAATTTAGATGGAGGGTCTGTACCAGGAGGGAGCTAATACCAAAGAGAACTTTTTCAGAAAGACATATCTGGGGGCACCTCGGTAGCTCAGTTGGTTGAGCATCTGCCTTCAGCTCGGGTCACGATCCCAGGCTCCCTGCTCAGCCAGGTGTCTTCTTCTCCCAGCCTCTGTCCCTCCTCTCCGCTCCCCCCTACCCCCACCACCCCCAGCCTGTGCACACATTCTCTCTCTCAAATAAATAAATAAAATCTTTTAAAAGAAAAGAAAAGAAAGACATATCTGCATGGCACAGCAAACATTTGTTTATCCAACGTTTGCCCTACTCATCTCCCTGTGACTTCTCGTCCTCCCCTTTGAAGCCCCAAACCATTACCTGCTTCTCCTTAGCTCATCATGGCATATAGGCTTCAACTGCCTGACTGCCTTTGGGGTCTCTGTCTTTGGGTCTCATACACACAAAATTTGTTTCTCTCCTGCTCATCTGTCTTCTGTTAATTTAATTATTAGACTAGTCAAAAAACATAAAGGGATTGGAGGGAATAGTCTTCCTCCCTGACAAAGTGATTTACACACACGGGAGTGGAAATTATACATTCACAATTATAGAGAATTCAGGCTGCTGGTATTAAATGTCAAAAACAAAAGTATGGGATTATTTGGCTGATTTGATAATTACCTCGGTGGTAAATGGAAATATTTTGAAATACAAACCTATTTTTTCTTGCTTGTATCCCTTTTGCCTTCTCCCCAGTCAGGCATTTAATAAGCCCTGTGCTCGCTTCCTCAGAGAAGGGACAGCAACAGCCATAACGACCCCTGTCACATGTGGCACACTTACATGACAGACATGGTAAATATAGAAACTCATTCAGCCACAGCAGCCTTATGGGCAGATATTGTTACCATCTCCATTTTGCAAATGAGGAAACCAAGGCACAAAGGTTTAAGTAACTTGCCCAAGGTCACACAAGTAGCAAGAGGGGGAGCCAGGATTCAAAGACAGTCAGGCTGAGAATCTGTGCTCCCCACCATTAAAGATGGATAATGTGGTCTATTGAGGACTTGACCAGACTTCACTGCCTCAAGAAAAACCTGGAAAAAATCTAATCAGTCAATAAGGACAGAATCTAGGGTCAATGTTCCCTGAAAGCATGACAGATACAGAGCTTGCTAGGAGAAATATTATTCCTTTAGACCACGGATGCATTGATGGAACATGGGCGAAGAATTGTCAACAAGAAAGGTCAAATTTGTGAACTTGCACAACTGTACTAAACCTATAAAATGAGGATGGGACCTGAGATCACTGGCTGAAAGAAGTTTGAGAAAACGCTGTAAGAAGAGCAGGTTGGATTCAGCGTTGGAGGAGATGGACCAGAAACGGAAGGGTTGGGACGCATACTTTAAGGCACAGTTTTTTTGTTTTTTTTTTTAACACAGCTCCACTGAACAGAATAGTGAGATTATTAAGGCTGACATCTTAAATTAGCTTGTCTAGAAGTTGGATTTTATGCACTTACCCTAAGTGTGATTAGTTTCCTGGGAACCAACTTACAGTCAACAGTTTCTCAGGGGATATATAAAACAGAAAAACCAACACATTAATTTAGAAAAAGAGAATTGTTTAGTAAGATGATCTGTTTAATAATCTGCACAGAAGATTCCTCATGGATGGGCAAAATCACCCTGGAGAGCAAGTCAAAAGCAGCTTGGGTGCACAAAGAACATGAATAAAGGCTATTGGGTAATCTTAGAGGCTTTTTTTGTTTTTCAAAGTAATTAGATATACTTTTCTTCTCTGGCCTGAGAATATTTCCACTGGACAACAGGTACAGTTGCACCAAGATCAGGTCACTCTGGCTCCTGGACAGGATTAGATGGGCGCTGACAAGTTCTCTCCTTCTTCTTTTGGAAGACCTTATTCAGAGAACTCTCTCAATTCATACATCAGTTACAGCACAATTGTCATCCAAACCCTCTGAACCCTGGATTGTGTCTGCTGGATTGGACACCTGCTCATTATCTGATACCTGATCCAGTCCCAGTGGGAAGGTTTAATTCCAGCTCTCCCCATCTCCAGTCCACTCAAGTCTGGAGCAGCAAACATGTCTGTTCCCAGCCCCATTGTGAGCTAGACTCAGACAACTGATCTTACATCCTTTCATGTATACCACCAGCATATATTTGTGACGGTTATATTTTCCAACCTTACTCCCAACTCAGGGAGATGTACCCTTTATGGAACTTTCAAAACCCTGTGCTCTCAATACATTGATCATGTCTTAAACTCAAAACACGTCTTTTACTGAAATATTTAGAGTGGAGCATATCAAGCAAAGAGGTCATCAAGAACGTCTTCATTCAGGCAACTAACACAGCCTCCTCTGGAGAAGGTAATAAAACTTCCTAAAATGTGGGTTTAGATATCATCTCAGACAGAGTGCTCAAAGAATACAAAACTTGTTCTCACAGAGCATAGGTTTGAGAAATTTCTGTAGAAAAGCATGTTAAAATTAGTAAAACTAAACCAATGTTATAGTGAATCACCCTATTTCTATTGTCTATATAACTAGTGAAAACTTAAAATTAATGGATGCTGAGTAAATAGCTCCTGAATTAATTAATCCATGCCATGTCAGTATGAATGGTATAGTCGAAAGAGTGGAAACAATTTACTAAAAATTGAGAGAACTGCAAAAAAAAAAAAAAATTGAGAGAACTGCATTGCTATTCATGCTCTGTCATGGCTCTCTCAACCTCAATTTTCTCATTTATAAAATAAAGCTATCAGATCAAATAGTCCCTAAAACCCACTCCCACTTTTAAATTCTTCTCTCTCTCTTTTTTAAGATTTTGTTTATTTATTTATTTGAGAGCGAGAGAGCAAATGTGCGAGCAAGCGGGAGAGGGGGGAGGGGGGGAAGCATAGGGAGAGGGACCAGCTGACTCACACTGAGCTCAGAAGTGGGCTTGATCCCACAACCCTGAGATCATGACCTGAGCCAAAATCAAGAGTCGGAAGCTTAACTGCACCACCCAGACGCCCCTGAATTCTTCTCCTTTGCTCATTTGTTATTATCTACAAGGAACCTCCCTAGAAGATAATGAGGAATAAAATTCTATATCAAAGTTAGGGGATTTCAATATTGATAAATATATGTAATAGATGAGTCAACTAGGTTGGAGTTGAGACTTGGATACAGAGTCCTGTAAGTTAGGGACCCCTTCACAGCTCCCCTGCTGCTCTAAGCAGACAGTGACAAAGCTACTGTAATTATCAAGTCAGAAAACCTGTATTAGTATTTTTTTTATCTAGTAAAACTTTTTTAAAAATTGAGATATAATTGATACATAACATTATATAAGGGAAGACCCATATTATTATGTAAAAAACTGTTGCTCTGTTTCTGGCCAGCTCCTAAAGTTCTGGGGCCATGGTGGTGTCTTGAAAAACTGCTATTGCCACCAGGTAGGTTTTAAAATGGAGGTGGTGGTTGTGGGAAAAGGCTACTTTCTCCTCCTTCCCTAATCTACCCTAGACTTGGTCATAAGCTCCTTTCTGAAACCCCAACATAAGACTCTAATAGGCTGTGATGTCTGCAAAACTGTTCTGAAAGTTGGGGAGAATGGAAGGAAATTACAATTTATTACAATTTATTCCCACAAGAATCTGATTCGGAAAGTCACTTCATTTGGGGATATCAGGAATATTGGAAGGTAGGAGCCATAAGCAGAGAAGTTAAATGAAAATATGGATAGAAATCCTGTGCCCAACCACCTTTTTCAAACAGATTGCTGTCAGACACCCTTATATTTCTTAACAGGAGACAAGAATTCTTCTTGGGAGAAATGGAGTGGCCCCATAGAAAAAAACTAATGATACTAAAATAGAGTGGTTCCTTCTACAGATATGCCAGCTCACCAATTAATCATATATTAAAACTCAGCAGTCCACAAACTCCACCCATGAACAT